AAGTAAAATTTATAATTAAATTATTGAATAGTTTATAATCTGAAGATTAAAGCAAATAATATATACATTTATGGATAAAATAATAATTTCATTTATTCATTCATTTCTTATATATTTAATATCACTAAATAAATGGACAATTAGTTAATGGAATCAACAAATAATCATATCATGTATTTATATATCTTTTTATAATAATAATTAAAATAATAAATGGTTTTTCTGTTGTAATCTTGTAGTAAATCAATCAAATGTCACAAAATATGTGCAAAATTTCTATCTTAAAAAATGTATTTACATTTAAGCGGCTTTTCATTCATTAGGTTTGTAGTTACTTTTGAATCACAAAAATTGATATAATTAACTAACATTAACAACAAATTAAGTGTAATATAATAATAATAAACAAAAACTATTGTTTCGGTAATTATCGTGTATTTTGGGAACAATTTTTCATGCATTTTATTAATTGTAATCATATTTTATAATTTACTACAAATTAACATCAAAAATGTATTACATCTTATATATATATTTAATAGTAATTAACAAATGAGGTATAATTAAATCTATATCGACTAATATGTGCACCAAAAATATATATATATATATACTTTATATTCATATGAATGAAAATTTTTAATCATTTTGAATAAAAATATTGATTATAAATAAAAGTATTTATAATTTTTATTATTAACAATAATATGCAAAGACTAGGGATTCAATCGAAAAGACTTTACAATCTTTTCTCACATTTCAATTAAATGACAATTTTTTATACGAAATAATAATTACAGTATTATTATAATAACAGACTATTCAATGACTTTTCGTGTAATTATTTAGTTGTTGTTATCGTTCAATACCTAATCCAGTGTTACATTTAAATAATTATAAACTAAAAGTTGAATCAATAAAAGTAATTAATATAAAACAATATGGTCTCAAATATTCATTTAGTAACTCTTATGTAATATATAATAATAATAATAAACATAACATATAAATAGTACCATTATTTTTAACATACAATATATTCTTGAAAAAACAGAATATTCTCTCATTCGATATAAGACTATATATTTTACGGCACTTTTTGAGTCTTTCGTATAATTAGTTAAAAATACAAAAATTGTTTTAATGTTTCAAATAATAGATAATTTTTGAATTTGTTTTTGTCGTACATATACTCGAAATAGTTATGTAATTGATATATAATAATGCTATTAATAATTATATTTCCAAATATAAGATTAAAGTATTAAATGTATTCTTGAGTTTAGGCAACAATTAATATATACTTATATATAAGTTATTTCACATATAATTAGAAATCTTTTTATAATGAATTTATTTACTCTTCGTTTTCGTTAATAGTAGTAAATATATAACGATTTTTATAAATGATTTTAACTGTTAATTAAAATGAATCAATTAATGAGAGTATAAGCGATGGCATGAGTTAAACAACTAATGATATTCTCTGTTGTGAAGTGTAGTCAAGAGATGTGCAAAACATATTTGAATAACACTTTGATTTTCTCTTTCAATAGATTGTTGTGATTATAAAATATTATGCATTTTTACACTAACTCTTCTAACAATTGATTTTACAATTTATTCATTTAACTCTATATTTGTATTGAAGGCATAAATTCGGAGCAATTGAAACAAAACTACATTTTCTCTCACTTTTATTTTCATTACAAATTGTCGTTTACTTTTTAGACTGGCGTTCAGTTCTGACTATTAATATTGTTTTATAGATTATAAAACTCTCACTTTATTTAAATCAATAATAACTAGATATTGATTTCATCACTAAATCGGTAAAAACTAAAACTTAACTAAAATATAATTACATTAATAATTTAGTAATCGATTGTTTAAAGCAAATAATATTACTTTTCAATTATTTTTAAATAAAATAAAATAAGAAATCATATGATAAGAGATTTACACGAATTTAAACAATAGCTGTTTTAGACTCAAATAATTGTAACAAAAAACTGTATTTGATATTAAAGTAAGAGTTTTACGGTTCAAACAATTGTTTAGATTATAAAATAAATCTGTTTTTAATTGTCTTTAAAAGTTAAAAACAAATTGATTTGGAAATAATTTGTACGCAATGTTTGACACATCGCTGTTATAGTAACCAAAAAATATGACATATCTTTCATTGAAATCAATGAGTTTTGCAACAAAAAACAATAACAACAACAAGTATTGAAACCTTAATTTCATTTCAATAAATCGGAAAAACATAGAAAATCACAACAAATCATAACAAGTGTTAAGAGTTTGAATGGGTTTTGGTGTGTGCCGTAAGATTACCCCGATTTGCGAACCCTTTACCGCATGTCTCGCATTTGAATGGCTTTTCTCCCGTATGGACAGACATGTGACGCTTGACCGTTGATTTCTATAACAAACATATTTACATGAAATACACATCAAAATCAATTACAATTATAATAACAGCGCAAACTTCCATATAAGAAACCACTGCAATGCAAAAGTGATTCAAATGTAACCATGTTAAATTTTATTACTAACACATTGCTTTATTAAATGTATTAGATAGCAGTGACCAAGAAGTATCTTATATAAAGGTTACACTGTATTGCATAATAAACAATGAATACCTGAGAGAATTGTTTGCCACAAATGTCACACGCGAATGGCTTTTCGCCGGTATGTGTTCTCATATGGATTTTGATGCGCTCCTTATCCGCAAATCTCTTTCCGCACACCTTTTTTACCAACAAATCAATTAATTAGTCAAACAGTTAATGTTTTCAAATAAGAGGCTAATTATGAGAACATAAATCGCAAACAATGGCCACACCTGACAGGGAAAGGGACGTTCGCCGGTGTGTGACCTCATATGGCGTGTGAGTGATGTCTTCTGTGAGAACGAATGACCGCATAAATTACAAGTGAATGGCTTTTCGCCCGAATGCGAGCGCAGATGCAGTTGATAGACATTCTTGGAGGCCAAGTGTTTGCCGCAAAGAGCGCACTGAAATGGTTTGGCCGGATCTCCGGACAGCAGAGGCGCCAATTGGAGCTTCACTCCCGTCGCTCCTATCAAAACACATTCAAAAGGCATTACAAACATTGAATCAATTGCTAAATCAAATCCATCAAAAATACCGGTCGTGTTGTGCTCGACATTAAGCCTATGTTTGTTACTGTTCTGAGCGATGGCTTTGATTCTCTGCTGCTGAGGAACGCCTCGATTCTGGTGATCGACAACACTCGTGACCACAGAGACGGGTACAGCGGTGGGCGGTGTGGGCACTAAAGTCGTGGCAGACGTTATGCTTTGATTGTGATGTAGTGATGGACGAGTCAGTGAAGGCACGTGTGACGCGTGCGTCACCAATGAGTGACTTTGAATTAATGGATTCGCAGTGACCGGCGCTCCGCTCAGACTGTTCTTCACGCTCAACGACAGCGGAGTCTCCATACATGTGGTCACCGAAGCAGTGGTCGGCTTGTGATACGGATTGATGAATGACAAGAGGCCTGAAATGGCCGGAAAGTCTGGATGGCTGGTGAGGGCGTTCGTCGTTATCAATTGACGCATCTTCTCCTCCTTTACCAGAGAAAGCGGTCCATCGATTGCGACCGAAACGGATGGCATGAGACCAGAGAGTAAGATCGGGGCCACTGTTGTGAACGGCGGAGTCATATCTATAACAACAAAAGCATTGTTTCAGTAATAAGTTAAATGCTGTCAAACACTGGCAGACATACTGTGCTGTGCTTTAAACGAATGAGTTATATCTGATTGTACTCTAAAAGTGGTCGACGGGTTGGATGAGTGGTGCGTCTGATGGAGCGGCAGATCGTATATCATTCCAGTGGACGGAACGGCAGCGGATGCGTGCGCTGAGGGCGACATCTTGGCTGATGAGTGCGATTGTATTAATTGATGTGACACTAAACCAGACGACGTGGTGGTGGCGAACCGGGCCTTCTTCGGAGGTAGTGGTAACTCGTATTTCGGGGTAACAATTGATGCGTTGCTTTTGGACATAAGAGGTGTCGGAGCCGTCGATATGACACACAGAGGAAAGCTTCGGATTTGATTGTTGACGAGTGTCGGCGCTCGTGTCACCGCCGATGTCGAGCCCTTTTGGCGGTTTAGGTTATTAAGAATCGGATTATTATTGTCGTCATTCACTTTCGACAGACCCAGCAATAGGTCGGAACCGTTGTTGCCATCGATGGCTTCGCTGTACGATTGGGGTTCGCTTTTGATGACTACAGACAAAGCCTGTCGACACGTTTGTTGTATCGACGGATCGGTGGGTTCGACGACAGGAACCAAATTAGTTAATGTGTTCATCTCTGGCATCGACGACATCGTTGTTTGGTTCACATTCTGAACGGGCTGTAGGGGTGGCGGTGGAGGCAAACCACTCGACATATGACTCTGATTCCCGATGTCTGGCATTAGATCATTGGGTGTCGTCTCGAACACAGCTATAGATGTAGCAGAAGGTGGCGCCGGAGCGGGCGGTAACTGGCCTTCGGGAACATTGCCCAGCGATGCCGTCACTAATGGCTGTTGTACTGATTGGTCGGATGTGAGGACAGGTTGCGGTTGTTGTTGTGGTTGTAATGGTAAGGACTGTTGGATTGATTGATGTTGTTGTTGCTGCTGCTGCTGTTGTTGTTGCTGTTGTTGTTGCTGTTGATTCTGTTGCTGTTCTGTAATCTCTAACGAAAGCTGTGTCTGAGTGGACGCGAGTGTCTGCTGTTGACACTCGTCAGCGGCGGTTGAGTACACCTGTGAATCGGCCGCCAATTGGTTCTCGTACTGACTGTTGTCGTACTGACCAAACTGTTGGTCGGCGACTGTCTCTAAGCCGCAGTTGTTGGCGGCGATGGCGTCGGTAACGGTGATGGCGACGGCGTTGGGCGAGATGTTGCTAAGTGTGGACAGTGGCTGTTGGGCTGATATGGGTTGGGGCAGAGACTTGATTAGATTGACTTGTGATTGAGACAGCGATATGGCATCTGTAAGCGTGGGAATGGATTTTGAGTTCATATTAATGGTTGCCTCGATTTTATCCAAAGGAACAGATGCCGACTCAATGCCACCGACTTTTTCTTCTTCAACTGGTAGTAAACCTTTTCATTTTGGATAAGTTTTTGGGATTAAAAAACATGTTTTCTATTAAAAATCTACAGTTCATTGACTAATCAAATGGTTAATGAAAATAAAACGATACATTTTTTTGAACATAACTTTTTTTTGTTCAAAAAAATACGTTTACAAATGAAAATTAAAATCAGATTTAATTACAAAAACTAAAACCTCTCTAAAGAGTTGGGCATTAAATGTTTCGCTGAATGTTGGGCTCATTTGTTGGGCAAAATTAACTGAATTTTGACGTTTATATAACAGTAAACAAACTAACGGCAAGTGTTTCGACCAAACACTGTATTTAGCAAACATTTGGGGTTTGAAATATCATATTCGCAGTTATGTTATTAAACTCTAAACGGTTGCAAACGCTTATTGTTTTGATTTTAAATGCTAACTAAAATGGAGTTTCAATTAAACGCTAATTAATTAAAAACAAATAAATATTTCATATAAAAACAAGTAATTCAATACTTAGTGGAAATTCTCCGGGAAGGGCTGTTGGGATGCCTTTCTCGTCGGTGGGCACCGGTCCGGGAGGGAAGTTGACGCTCGGCGGCGGAATCGCGTCCAACAGTTGCTCTTGAAGTGCCGGATCTAAGCTCAACACTGGCAGCGGTTGCTCCGATTGAGACACGTTATTATTATCGTTGTTGTTGTTATTGTTGAGCACCGGAACCATTTGGTTGAACATATCGGCCGAAACGCTGGCGACAGTCGTGTTGTCAAACGTGTTATTATTGGAACCAAAAGAGGAGAGGACAGTCATCTGGGGATTCATCGATCCGTTAGACATGTTTACGTTCTGTTCAATGGCGGCGATGGGAGAGGCGGCCGGTGTTTGCGGCGCAGAACCCGACGGACCGTTAATTACCGGTTCAAACAGATTTGAATACTGATTATCGTTGACGGACTCCATTAGCGACGCGTTGTTCTTCGGCGCCATCGATGGTAAGATTATTTCATTGTTGGGAATCTCGATTTGAGGCGATTCGGTAGCGATTGTATTCATCTAATCATTTGATATAATATGAGATAATTTAGTCATTTATAAAAAGACTGAATGTCTTTAATAACTGAATGGCAATACTATAACAATAAAAGGCATTAAATATCTCTCTATTTATCAACTTTCAAATACAGGAAAGAATTTGCATTTAATTACAAAACTATTAAATTCAATGTCAATGCCGTCTAATATAAGAAACACTATTCATATAAATTATATATACAGTAAAAAAGAGTAAAAATAATAGACAATATAGTAAATGCAAAATGCAAACAGTCTTCAGACCTGTTGGATCTGATGTTGGGGTACAGCACCGGACACGCCATCAAATGTGGGCTGAGAGGGGTCTGAGTTCTGCATGATTTGGTTGGACTCAAGTTGTGATATATTAGGGACGGGAGGCGTCAGATCCGAAAACGTCAAATCTGTTGACTGCCTCTCTGTTAACGACTCGTCCGACTTATAGCTGTTCTCAACGATCATTGTATTCAACAATTGGTTATTATTTTGATTGAATAGCATTAGAGAGGCATTGGGTTCGCAGTTGAGGCCATTGTAGGGATCGGCACTCGTGTTGACTGTTGTGGTCGTCTCTAAGACACACCCATCGGCCGATGACTGACCCGAATGTGTGGGCACAGCCGCTGTCGGCACTGTTGACGACATTTGTGGCACTATTGTGGCCGAAGACTCCATCATATCATTTAAGTGGTGGTCGTCTTTGACTTATCACTCGAACTAATTCTTCTGATTATAATCTCTATTCAAATAGACGTCTAAATAATTGCCAAAAATATAACTCAAATAACTCAACAAAAAAACAAAACAATACTTAAATCTAATAGCAATTAATAATTGACATAAAAACTAACAAATAATAATAATTATCTGACAATTAGTCTGAATTTAGACATCACTTCAACAAATAACTCGCTTTACATATCAATCGATTACTTAAATCTATAAATTAATGTCAAACAAAAAACAATACATAAAATCTCTCTAAATATATCGTCGATGTATTCACAGGTAGTTCTCAATCACTTCATTTGAATCACAATTTAGGTAACAATTAGTGTAGTCTTTATGTTTTGGGAGTTTTGATTTCATTTCATTTGTACTTTTAATTCATAATTATGTGATTGAATGTCAGCTCAAGAAATGGCATTCAAACAAAAACAATATATCAATTTAGAGACCAATTCAATGTCTGCTTTGGGTGTTGTCTTGAAGGGAGCGATCGGTTGAATCGCTTCTCAAATCCAAGTGAATGATGAGATAAATTGCACTTTCGTTTCAATCGTATTCATTACTATCGATACATGTTTTCCGAAGTCATTAAATAAACACAAATAACTTTTATAACAAAAATACTTTCAAACCATTTCTCGATAGCGTTTCAAATAGTAATCGTATAGAAAATTAACGTTTAATTTAGTAGCGAATCAACGAAATGGACAATTCATGTCTGTTTAGAGGGAGAGAAACAAAAGCCAACTAAATATATACACATATCATCAAAACGAGACATTCATTGACACAAAAAAATTTGCTCAAAAAATCTAACGATAACTACAAATGACACAAAAAAGAGATGATTTAATAAATTATTTTTAATCAAAACATTTAAGCAATAAATAGATAAATAAAGTGTAAAAATAAAATCCAAAATTCAAAAGTCTAGTGAAAAGTCTGTTTAAAGAAAATAGTGATATAATTGACAACAAAAATGCATTTTCAAAATGTATATAAAACTCAACGAAATGGACAAATGATAATACAATACAATCACTAATAATTCATACATGTATTCATAAATAGCAATAATAATGGTTTGAATCGATGCTTACATTGCAGTCACTGACAGACAGAGGAGTGTTTCGTGTGTTTCGATGGTTAGGCAAAGAGTGTTGTGTTTGAGTGATGTCTTGGCAGTCACTCGACGGTCACAACTGATCCCAATTAGTAGACTCACCACAACTGTTAGGCTGGGGTTGAGAGGAGAGCTCCGACTCGTGTGGGTATGAATCACATCAACACTGACTCTACATATGTATAGCAATGGTGTTTCAGACGATGTGGTCATCCATTGTGAAGACCATCTGCTCGAAGGACACATCCATTGAGATAATAATGCATTACAACATCAATAGTCTATAGACAACACTCACAACACTCACAGCACTCGCAGCACAACACAGACATCGCAAATGCCTTCACATTACAAACGCTATTAACGCTGGGCTTAACGAATAGCACAGAGTGTGCCGTAAAAACACTATTAACACCATTTCCGGAGAGAAAGTACTTTTTGATTCGCAAAATCATTTGTCATACACTCTATGCCTCTATAGCTGTGGCTATGCATGAAAGCCAATGTCAATGTCTATTGCCATCGCCTGTCAACCTCTCTAAACGGACCAAATGTTCGCTCAATTAATAACAACTATTTATTTCACTTTTATTTCTTTTTCACACATTCTTTGCCCACTTTTCGACACAACTTATTATAATTATCGCTAATTTTTCGCAATAAATACTGACATTACTTATTGGGCGCCGCTTTCATCGATACTCACAAATGCATTGCATCTGTAATACAGCGTAAAGAGAGACCAAAGTTTGGGACCAAACGCTATGTTCTGTCCCTTTAAATGTCTCTTTAAATACCCATTGAATTGAATGCCGTTTTTTATGACCGAAAACACACTTTCGATGAATAGAAAAGTGGTGTAAATGTTGTTTTGACGTAATTGTTGTGAGAGTTGCGGCCATTTGTGGCATAAAATGTGTATTTCATGCGGTGTTTGTCTCTTCACTGCCTATTGTATTGAGTGTTTGGTTGTGTTGTGTCTCTCACTCTCACACACTGTGTATTGAACAGCATTTCTCATAGTCTTTATGGTATGGTATGAGTGGTGTTGTTGTCGATGACGACCGATAGACTGACCGTCCCTTCAATTACAAGACTATTACTGGCCATCAGTTGTTGTGTTTGAGTGGCGACTGTCTTATGGTTGAAGTGGTATAACATATCTGTAATACATATTTGAAGCGCTGTCTCTGCGAACACAGCATTCATTGTGCAGTCATTTGCAGTCATTGCCAGACATTCGCATCCATTTGTCCCTCAATTCAGTCGACAAAACAAATCTAATATATATTTATTGTTATTTATTATACCATTTTTGTGACCAAAACAATAAGCAGTGAATCGCCGACACCTGTCTGTGTGGCCATCACTTCGGGGACCACCTCTTCGTGCGGCCGTCGATCGCAGACCACAACCACTCACTCATATCGGGTCGCAATCGATATAACACGTGATCCGCAGATAATGTCGAAAGTATGTAAAGTTTGGCCAAAATTTATGTCGAAATGTCTGTTCAAACGACTGTAAACTCTCCGTTCGTCTAATAATAAACGCAAACAAACCGTACTTTTAATGAATGTGTGAATCGTTTCTCCCGTTTTTTGCCACAAATTGTTTTCATTTATAGTTAACTGTATTTTTGTTATACATTTTTGTTTGTTTGTATCGTTGGTGTGATTTCCACAGACGACTCACGCCATGGATGACCAGAAGGTTGTGTGGAACGGGTGGGGGACCGCCAATGGGGACAAGACTACCAATGGAGACATCGAAGGTAATGGTGATCACCAAATGGATCCCATACTAACACTCCTATGCATTGAGGGCTATGTCTGAGTGGTGTATGCATTAAATATACACTTTGTTGATGAATATGTAAATTTGATACTTTAAGTAGTTTTCGGCATAACATTACTGTTTGTAATATTGTGTTGATTAATACCCGGATGAGAGACAGGACTACATATACGCTATGAAAGTATTCATTGAGTATTCATAATATGAATTTCATATCACTGTAATGCCAGTGAAAGAGCAAAAACTAAACGCAAACAAATATCTGGTATTTACTGTATATTTAAATGTCTCACGACATGACTCTCACGCATAGATATATAGTTATAGAGAGATTGAAACTGATTGTGTGTTTTGTTTATGTTTGAAAATAGGGTCCGGCGTTGGCTTCAAGAAGTCGTTCGTCCAAAGCCTCATATTAGGTAATGTTTGTTATGTTTGTTTTGTTTGACTATTTATTATTGCATATAATGTGTGTTTTATGAGCTGATTATTACATATGATATTTTTGTGTTTGTCATTCACCGTAAGAAAGGTGTCGTAAACATGAAATACAAGCAACCGATTAATGATAAAACACTTTTTCGTATTCAGTGTTTTTATTGATATTATTTTTAGTGCTCTCTTTTATACGATTACTTTTTGTTAACCATATTTTGTACGCCAAATATCTGGTCCTTCAATCACATAATCTCTCGTTAATTTGATTTTCAAAGCAGCCATTCGTTACATCACTTGTTGTCATCACTTTTTTTGATAGTTTGTTACAATTGGCGTGATTTGCATCAAAACAAACTAAAGCTATGCCATTCTCTCTCTCTCTCTCTCTCTCTCTCGTTTCATTAGAAACAAATGCGAGAAATGATTTTAATTATTATACAACTACTATATGATGAGAATAATTGTTATAACACACTATACAACACATACATACAAACCAGACATGCATTTAGTTAACGAAATAAATTAAAGTAAAAGTATTGGCAGATAGAGAGTGTGTGTTTAGTAGTGGTGTTTTGTGTACTATCCATATGGAGGCTCACATTTGTTGCCAAATACTACTGCCATCACCAACAGATCCAATAACACCAAAACCACTACCTCTTGCCTATCGTTGGCTTGAAATTTGGTCTCTCTTTTGCTTGTATTTAATTGCTTTTCTTATTTTTTATGAATTAGTTTTTAGTTTTAATTAATTTTTTATGCGTTTACTGTCAAACTTCCGTTCAATTAATTTTAGTTATCGTTTAAACATATTTGTAATAGTTTTATATGAGTTGTTAATAATTGTCTCCCAAATCGCCGATGAATAGGGATTTCAAACAACAATTCGCGGACGAACTCAGACTCGAATTCAACCAATTCTGTGAATTCTGTTTCATCTCAACAAAGCCTTAATGTACTGAAAAGCTCACCAAAGGTTTGTTTTAATTATAATTTCATAAGTTTTTTCATTTAATCTGATTTATTAGTCAGTTATCAGTGTTTAAACAGATAGTCATCTCTCGCTTACTATTGATTGTTTTTATGTAATTCTTGACAACTCATACTTTTTTGCTATTTTTTAAATGGAGTTTTTATAATTAAATATAATTAGATTGAATTTTAGTGTCAAATGTGTGAATAATTAATAATTGTATTTAATTATTAAAATGTAAAGCAGATAAAAGTAGCGCCGATTAATGATATAAATGATTGGCCAACTCTTGGAGAAGTCCACAAACCAAAGGTATTTTGACGCATAGTTGGAGGCATTGATTGATGACGTGATTTAATGTAATATTATATGTATTTCCAGAACTCAAAACACAACTCAAGTGCTGACGAAACCACAGCAAACGAAACGCCGATTCCGACATCGGGTGAGCCATCAGTGCCTTCAACTCCTAATAAATTAGCTAATAATCACATAAACGACTCGACGCCGCCATCGCTGCAATCGATGTCTTCATCAAATCATCTCAATTCCAACTCTCGCGACAACTCTCAGACATCACAACCACAGTCATCACAAGACGACGAGGACTCGCCCAACGAGACCCCAGACAGAGACGGCGGCCATTCGTCCGGTGCCGGAACCGACTCCACCACTACTATTACGCCCAGATCTGCCAAAAAGAAAGGTTATTTCAACACACTTTACATCATTTCAATCCACATTACATTCTCTCTCACTTTCACTAATTAATTGTAATTACATGTTATATCGATGTGTTTAACACAAGCGTTTAATTACATATTTTGTAATACAGTATATGTGGTGTAAAACTCCACCTCTAGTCTACTCCCCGAACATATGATACGGAAATCATAGAAATTTTAATTCAATTCAAAAGTGTTTGAAAAGCATAAAAAAGTTGACAATTATTGCGAATTCACTATTTGTTCATTAATTTGTGTATTAATTTACTGTATTTATATATTTCTCATTTACTCACTCTTCATAAAATTCAATTAAAATTAATTATATTTAAGCAATAGTTTTGTTAAAAATGCAAATTGCATTCAAAATCAATCCCTTTTTAAAACTTATTTTGCATTTCTTTCAAATAGCAAAAGTATTTTGAGAATTAATTTTTGACTTAAAATTAGCAAAATAATTGTCTTTAATATGGACTTTGAATTTGAATTAATCTTTTATAAATTAAATAAATGTCTTTTTATATAAACACTTTAATGAGAGTCTCTTTCACGCCGTTTATAAGGTTTTAACTAAACTTTAAATGCGTTTAAATGTCTTTTGCAAAGAGTCTATAAGACGTTTATTACTGTTAATTTCCTTGTATTGATATTAACAAATGATTAGTTGCAAATGTACATGTTACAAGTTGTAAATGACTCGTACTTTTATATTAATTATTATAATTTAAATATTAACACTATTATCAAATGAATTTTGTAATATCTATAACGATCTCAATCTAATATTAACTAAACATTCTTTCCATCAATCTTTTGACCCATTTTTTGTTTTTGTTTCAAATTTTAAACCGAAAATCTTTTACCCATTGAATGCATACACTATTTGTCGCTTATTTTAACACAAATTAATTGTTTGAATAATTTATCGGTTTTCACTACTTTTTTTTCACCAAAATATTTATTAGCATTTTTTGAAAGTAATTTCATGTGATGTATAGTCAGTCTCTGATATTTGCTCTCATTTTTGTTTTGTCTCTTGAATTCTTGAATACTTTAGCGCTTATTACGAAAGTATTGTATTTTTAATTTAAGTTTCTATAATTAAACCCAATATTATTGTTTTGTGATTTAAAAACAACAGAATATCTGTTTGTTATACCTTTAATCGTATTATAAGTTATTGATAATAAATATCCGTCTTTTCTAATGTCTGTTTCCTTTTGTGGGACACTTTAAATGCACTTTTGTATTAAAAATAGATTAATTAAATAATACTCTAAAATTAGTAAAGATTTCTGTGCTATCATTTCCTTCACATTCACATCCGGTTTACTTGTTGTAAAACCTTTAGTACAAAATCACTTGTTTGTGATATTATTTTCAAACCAATTGAACGACACATTAATATTGAAATAATTGGTTGTTTAGGTCCTAAGAAATGGGTGCCCCTAGAGATCGGACCTCCGCCTCAATCAAAGCCCCATCGAAGCGAACGAAGTAAGCCCTCACTCGTGAGCGGTCGCGACAGACAGAGCGCCGACGACCGGACGGACCGCAAAGACAGAGATCGACCGCCAGAGAGGCCGCGACGCGATCGTCGCGAAGAGCGTAAATGAAATACTCGTTCAACAAATAGACTATTTTTAGGGATTTTCGTGTTTTATCTCTGAAAATACATTAAAATCTCAAAAAATTATTTAATGAATAGTTTAGTGAATAGAAAAATACTTTTTTCTCGTCATATAATTGATATGAATTAATATTTTAAATATAATTAAATAGTTGTTGTTTCGCCAAATCACACGTATTATAACAAACAAAACAATTTCAATGTTTTGTTTCATTTAAATAAATTAAAAATTCAAACCAAATATTAAGCGTCAGTAGAGTATAAGGTTTGGAAATACCGGTACTTTATTTAGTGATAAACGTAATCATTAAATGAAAAACTTTTGTAATAACTCATATATTCTTCAATTATATAGAAAAAATGCATATTAAAAATTGAGTCCACTTTCTTTGTAATTAACAGCAATTAATTTCAATTATACAAATCATTTCGCAATCAATGTTTTAAATTATGTTATTTATAAGCCAATCGATTTGTTAAACACTTATTTCAAGCCTTGAATTCAACTCAAAAGTTAAACAAAAATAAATTACAATTTCGAGAATTTATGTTTCATAACAATTTCATCAATGCATCACACATTAGAGAGAGAGAGAGAGAGAGAGAGAGAGAATGGCAACACACACTCAACATTCTATACCTATCCAATATAGTTATCACTTTTTATTAAGTAAACGTCTGAAACAGGCAATGAAATTACATAACGATTACAACAAACTTTTTTTATACGTCTAAAGCATTATCTTTTGGAAAAAAGTCAATTTGTGATTATTATAAACAACTCAATACACGTTTTCACTTTATATGAAACACAAAAAATGGTTTTTATGAAAAATAAAATTCATATTTCGATAGCAGTGTAAATGGCATTTCGGCCCCTCTTTTACAAACATCTGTTAATAGGCTTTAATTGCAAATATTAGTTAATATACAGCAAAAAAAACTCTTTGATTCGGTAATAATTAGCACTAAAAACTAGTTGAAATCAAAAGTTTGTGTTCCCTATCGTTCGCAACACACACTCATACTCTCTATATAGAAATGAAATACTCGTTCAACAAATAGACTATTTTTAGGGATTTTCGTGTTTTATCTCTGAAAATACATTAAAATCTCAAAAAATTATTTAATGAATAGTTTAGTGAATAGAAAAATACTTTTTTCTC